TGTTCCACCTTTTTCATATTTTCTCATCACAAAAAATAAAATTTTTTTTTTTTTTTTTAAAAATTGATAAATTTGAAGACAATTTTCCATCTTGTAGCAAATCATGACATCTAGGAGTTTTTTCAATATTTTATTTGTTTTCAGCACACCAAAATACATGGAAATTAGATGAAAATAATCAAACAGCTTTTTAGTCGCAGACCTGTGATCTGTCATTTGTAAATAAAATAAAATAAAATAATTTATAAATCACACTCACCCAAGAAAATGTTCCACCTTTTTCATATTTTCTCATCACAAACTATACAGTTTTATTTGTGCATGGCATCTGAAAATAAAAATTCACTTAATATTATCAATGAACATAATTCAGTATTTTACTACACAAAATACTGTAATATATACTTCTTGGTGCAATTAATATTTTACAATTTACCCTATCAAATATATGTGTATGCATGTAGGCTGATGGTGAAAGCTATACCAGCAATGTATTTTGACTGAAAATATTATTGTGAACATACTTGAGATTTTTTGACCTTTATGGATTTCAACTCCTGTATTACTCCACAATAATACATATAAACCATCCTGGTCACCTTTCTTATCACTAAAACCTGGCATTCATACCAGAGGACTGATAGGTAGCGAAAGTGATAGAAGTTCAAAAAGCAATAAATGGGATGGATAGCCAGGAAACTACACATCAGTTAGCTTAATAACATTTGAACACTCTTAAAAGAGAGCTATCATCAAGTCACATATCTGCCTGATAAAGAATCAGTATAATTCTTGTAAAGACAAGATCTATACCTTTTTAGGCTTTCAGCGTTCACTAGAATTGGGTGATCCAGCATATTTCATTCTTTCAAAAGGAACATGACTTAAAACTTATCAATTCAAGTGGCTTTCTTATATATTGAACACAGGAATCACCTTCATAGAAAAACAGGATTTGGGGAAGACAGGGTAGTTTAAAATGTGTTCTATTTTTTTCCTGGTAATCTAAGTTTTAAAAGTACCATCTCGAGACATACATTATGAACTGCTGTCTCAACTTGGTCTATACCCTACAGAAGTTCCAGATGGTATCTTTGGAATACAGACAAAACAGATATGTAGGAACACCAGCAATGGAATGGAGCATATAGGATATGGCAGACTGAGGTGCTCTAATTGTTTTGCTTGCTTTATGCAATCTCCAAGAACAAAATATTGACAGTTTCAAAATTCCACCAACAAGCAGCTTTGCAGAGTTTTTTGTACAAGTAGTCCTTTCCTGCTGCTTCCCACTTAACAACCTGAATGTCTTGGGGCTATGACAGCAACCATAATTGCCATTATTAGTGTTACTAAGTGATACAGTCACATCACACATTATCACTGCATCATTTAGTAACAGCAATTTTGGTCCCAATTTTCATTGGAGCCTGAGGACTATCTGTATTTTTTATATAATTAACAATATTATTTTTCTTGGTTTGTTGTGCTGTGTTTCCCAGAAAATAAGACAGGGTCTTGTTTTCTTTTGATCCCTAAAATAAGCACTTGGCCTTATTTTTGGGGAGGTCTTACTATTATTGAAGTGCAAGAGATGGCAAGTGTGGTCACCTCATGGCTGCTGCTGTGTTACTATATTTTCAGGGAGGGCTTATTTTAGCGCATGCACTCAAAAGCCTGATTGGATTTATTATCCAGGGAGGTCTTATTTTGTGGAAACAAGGTATAATAAAAGTGAATACAAATAATTATTATTTAGCATAAATAATTCTGCTACAAATTGCATAGATATTTCATGCAACTAATGTTTTAAAAATACTATTATAATTCAATTTTACCGAGGTGGCGCAGTGGTTAAATGCAGCACTGCAGGCTACTTCAGCTGACTGCAGTTCAGCTGTTCAAATCTCACTGGCTCAGGGTTGACTCAGCCTTCCATCCTTCCGAGGTGGGTAAAATGAGGACCTGGATTGTTGTTGGGGGCAATATGCTGACTCTGTTAACTGCTTAGAGAGGGCTGAAAGCCCTATGAAGCGGTATATAAGTCTAACTGCTATTGCTAACTGCTATTTGTGGTGACCTTGGCCTACTTACAATAAAATCTGAATTCACTTGATGAGTTGTGACACAATAGTTTTGAGCAAAAACAAAAAATTACAATAATAAAAAGTGTTTGTTCAAAAACAGATTTATACCAAGAACTATATTGGGACTAGTGCCTTTTAATATAAATGAAGTGTGGGTAAGAATAGGTTGTTGCAAATTACATTGTTTACAGTGGTGAATCAAAAATAACTACAAAGAACTCAAACAGCTCTTTCAGATCATAATAGGCAACTAGAGGGCAAACACAAAAAGCCATAATATCACATATACTGAGGAAGTCCAAAGATGAAATGCCTAGTGCTATTTTACATTGTATATAATTTTTGGAACCTAAAATCAGGAATATATTTTCTCCTTTTGTGCAACTGGATAGAGATTTGAGATTCTACGTAAGTCACATGTATACTATCAAATGACTACAATTGGAGGTGCCATTCACTTATAGTTAATATAATATGTGGCAACCAGTAATGGAATATCCATTTCACAGGAAACAAATAAACAGAAATATACTCATTCCTCAAATTAATCACCATACCGAACACTTCTCAATATTTTCTATAACCCTTCATTGTTTGGGAGTATAGAGTGGGGAGAGGGACCTTTGTGAAGCTTTGATCTTATGGCCTGTGGGGCTTTCTCTAGTTTAGGATGAACAAATTATATTCAATACAATTATACAAAGCCTAAAGACCTTCAACATTTTTTCAGCTGGAGGTGGGGTAGAATATTAAATCTGACTGTTTAAACTTTGTCAGTGCTGTCTTTGTTACATTAGTTACTATGCTTTCAAATGTTCATTCTAACAATCTGAACATTCTAAAATTATGTGTAACATTTACAGTACAATCTTATGCTTGTTTGCTCAAGAGTTAACGCCAAAGTTATGGTTATAAGTGGATAGGATCGCATATTTTAAATTACGTACATCATAAAACCATGATTTAAAACCCTCTTATAATCCAAAGAATACACTAGTAAAAGAAATAAAAATGTCACAGGAGTAAGATTTTTCAAAATATGCTGGGTTTGAGACAAAAACATCCAAGTTCAAAAACCTTTTGAAAATCTTCTAGGATACAACTATGTATTTTACCCTTAAAATGTTATGCTAATAAGATGAATAAAATAATAAAATGGATTGTATTAGTGTGTTCTAAATATAGAACAAATCCAATTTTCTAGTTTTAAATATCCTATTAAATATTTCCAAACAAGGCAAATCCACACTATATTATAAAGCAAGTTCAACTCAAAATGTTATTCTTTCATTAATTAGACAGTGGTGCTTATAAGTTTATTAAGTTTATGAAAAAGTTCTATTTTAGTCTTATTGAACCAACAGGATTTGGAGAACAAGGCATGGGATATGTGTGATCACAGTGAGGCCAGGAAAAGAAGATACAAGCTGCGTATGTGATGGAATGTTTGGATTATTTGGGCCAGGGGTATCAAACTGCTTGCATCACGGGCCATATTGTGCCATGTCCTAATGTTTTTTGCCTTTGCAGAGATGAGGTAGGGTGGCCTGCGCGGGCCATATCTGGTCCGCAGGCCATCAGTTTGACAGGACTGATTTGGGGAAACGTAGGAAAGAAATGCTACCTGGGAAATAATCAGATAAGAGAGAGGGAGGTCCCCCCCCCTTCATTGCTGGCTTACTCACCGACATTGCTTGTGGGTAGCTGGCAGGAAGGTCACAAATAGTGATCACGTTACTGTGGGACACTGCTGTGCAAACTGGTTGCCAAGTGTCTAAATTTTGTTCATGGACTCCGTAACAGCCAGAACTTGGTGTACGCTCATTCTAAGTTCTTTTATGCACAGCTGTCATAACTTCAGATGCTAACTCAACTAATGGTCATACATCAAGGATTACCTATATGTAACTTTCATTCATTTTCCTCAATAAATAAATGGACAAGTATGTTTTGTATTCACTTAATTGGGTTGTTTTAGGATATGTGGAAAACATAATTTGAGATTATATTTATGCAGAAATATTGAACATTCAAAATGTTTATACAATGTACATCAATGCTACTTATGTTTGCAGGGTAGCCATTATGTATTTTCTTCCTCAGCTATTTTTTTTACAGCACAAAACGTTTTAAAAACAATAAAAACCACTGGACTCCGTGTAACATTTTATGAATCAGGCATGGTAACTCCATAATAAAAGCTTCATTGGAAAAGTTCATTTTGGTTAATGAAGTAAATTTACTTCAATTTAGGAAAAGACACTTTAGTTCCTCAACAGCACTTTTTGCTGTTTACATTAAAAGAACTTATGTAAGGAAAAAGGAGTAAATCTTCTTTAAAGCTTATTCGCTAATTGCTTTAAATATAAAAACTGTTGAATAAATCCCCATAGCTCCCTCCTGGAACAGCTACACTATTCAGAAACTGCATGACTTTTTTTTAGTTTGGGAAGTAATGATATACTGAGATCTCCCAACAGCGTGATAGTTGAACATTATACATTTTTTCCCTTACAAATCTTATTAGTCATAGTGAAGCATGGGGCATAATCTTAAGAACAAATACTGTATAATGCTATTTCAAGGGATGGGAAAACTGGTAACCAAAATGTAACATATCTGAGGTTGATGGGAGAAACAGAGTGGGGTAGGTTTTGAAGTTCAATGGTTTTCTTTGGAATACACAGTAGCTTTCATGTGTTTCCATTTCAAAATGAAAATAAACTTTATAAGGATTTGTTATAGCCACTGGTAGCTTCAGGAGCTATAGGTTGACATCCTGTTTTATTTAAACTATATTGCAACAGTTAAAAATAGAATAATTTGGGAATGACCCCCAATCCACCAACCACACAACACTGAAGGTATGAACAGCTTTTTAAAATACAATTTTCTCAAATATATTATTTGTATGTATTTTTAAAAGATCACATATCATGATATAACACTTTATTTGCAAAGACTCTGAAACTAAAAAATAAACTATATTACAATGAAGCAATACAAAAGCTAAATGAATCATGGTTTACATATTCATTTTAAGATTATTATACTCTTAACTCAAAAGATATGCAACCTGGCATCTTCCAGATATTTTGGATTTCAATCCCCATGAATCCTAACTACAATGAATAGTAGGATTATGAGAATACTTCCCCGTGTTAGGACGACAACTCTGTAACCAAAAAAAAGATCTGAACTAAATTCTCTGGTTATTTTTGTGTTTCTGATTCTGTAACAATTGAATGCCTCTAATAAACAGGTTTTCTAGGGAAGTATTTGAGCATTTAGCATTTTTGAAATCAGAGATGGGGAATCAATATACCTCCTAGATCTGTGATGGCGAACCAATGGCATGTGTGCCACAGGTGGCACACAGAGGCATCTCTGTCAACACATGAGCCATAGAGCCCATGCGCACATAGATTTTGGGGTCTCTACAGCATGTGTTGTTTAATCAACACTATAGAAGCCATCAAGAATATAACTATATACATCCAACAGGAACAGGAAGTGCCTCACAGGAGCAGATAGAGGTAAATCATACAGAGGCAGGAAATATATCACTGAACAATGGAGATGAATGCTAGAGAGGAATAAAGCTGCATTCCAAGCAGGCATAACACCTGTAACAGTGTGTGCATGCATGGGGGAGGGAGTCATACATGAAGGTCACGCACGCTTTGTATTATGGGTGTGGGCATGCGTGTGCACACCGTCATGTATGTGCGTGCCCTTTTGGCACGCGAAGACAAAAAGGTTAGGCATCACTGTCCTAGATAATGTTAACAATTCCCACCAGGAATGATGGAATTTGAAGTTGGCATACCTGAGCTCGAATATTCCCCATTCTTCTTCTACATTATGATGAACTTCTTGAATTAGAATTGATAATCAGAAAAACAATGATCAGACTGGCAAACAGAAATGTTGTGTCTTAATTAAATAAAAAGCATTATTACTAATGTTTTCTTGCAATAAAGGGATCAATCACTATTTCTCAAATGTATGCCTAACTTCACACATTTATTCATTTACTCATCAAATTTATACATGGACACTATAGAATCAAATTCCAACAGCATCAAATAAAACAATATAAAACATATATAAAACCAAGATCAATATCAGATGTCGTAAGTACTCTGGGAATTAATAAGGAAATGTTTATTTATACAAACAGCTTTTTGATTTTTTTAAAAAAATATCATCCAGTAGAGATGAAGTCTCCACTCACCATTCACAATATTGGTGCCACCACTTCAAAGACCCTCGACCTAACCATCTCTAGCAAGCCATCCAATTTTCAGCTGCTCTTACTATAAGCCCACAGGTGATAAACAGAGATCCCAATTAATAACATAAAGTTGTTCTTTAGGTAAACAAGACAAATCTGTAAAGGGTTGTATATGTTAAAAGAGACACTCTGAATTTGACTCAGGTAGCAATGGGAAGCTAGTGCATCTGAGCCAGAGTACATACTACATTCTTCCAACAGAGAATGCAAGGCAGAAATCTCACCACCGGATTCCTGAATCATTGCAGTTTCTGGATTATTTTCACCCATGTAAAGTGTTCTACAGCAAACTATTCATAAGGTAATGAATGAGTCCATTTAGTCCTAACCAAGAAATATGAATGCAGTAGAAAAAAGGAATACTTCACCACCAGTCACCTGAACTATCAGACTATGTGGAAATCAACAAGTATCCCCAGTCCACCCATGAGCCTTTTTCAGTGAATTTGAAATTCCATATGCATTGAGATTAAATAATTTGGTGCAATCAAATTATAAGAACTCAAGAACTTGAGTTATATATTCATTACTTATTCAACAGATCAGGTGAAACCAGGTCATATTTAATGTTAATCCTGCCATATTGTAAATACATATTTTTTTTAATTTACTAGTCCATACTCATAAAACAACCACCTGTATCAAGAAACACCAGAAACTTTGACAATGCTGATTATATATTTCAGAAATGGGGCTGAAATCAGTTGCCATCTCTGCTATGAACACATATTTGTTTTATGACAAAATTGCACATTACATTTTTAAAATAGATTAAAAAGTGTAACAAGGGTAAACAAAAATTTAAGCATGGGAATAGGTTCTTCAAATCCTTCATTAGGCAATTTTCCACCTAGTATCGTTTCTCTCTGAATAGAGAAGGAAAATTTGCTTTACTCTGCATTAGCAGTCTTTACAACAATCATAACTGATTGTTACATCTAGCCAGCTCATAAACTCAAGAATCCAGTGTTTTTCAACCTGAGAAACTTTAAGACATCCAGATTTCAATTCCCAGAATTACTCAGTCAGCTGGCTAATTTTCAAGCTTGATTAAATTTCTGATTAGCCTTGTTAAAACATGGATGATAGGGGAATTCTGGGAGTTGAAGTCCAGACATCATAAAGTTGCCCAGATTGAGAAACACTACTAGACCCCCACGCTCTAAAAGCACAGAATACAGTAGCACCATGATGGCGAACGTTTTAGTCACACAGTGCCCAAACTGGAAGGTGTGTGTGTGTGCGCACGTGCCAGAGCACCAGAAACCCAACGACCAGCTGGCCACTGCACCTCAGAAACCCGACAACCAGCTAATGTACATGCACAGTACATTTGTGAAACTTTTTTGAGTTTTCATAATCTAACATGAGAACAGTATTTTATGAACACATTATGAGCCATCTATTAAAAACACAAAAACAGTTTTAGATCATATTGTATATCCAAATCTTGAAAGAAATGATATCAAATTATACAGATATAGGTATACAGCAATAGGAAAAGTCTAATAAAGAGCTATTAATACTACTGTATGACCTTCTGCTATTATACATTAATCCAAACTTTACCGTCTTAACACAATTCCTAATAGCTTTACAGAAGAAAAGAGTGCAATACTTTTAATGGATTCGTTGAAGAAGAGATTGAATTAGTTGAAAATGAATTTGAATAGGCTAAAAATATGATACATACAAAACCCTTTGTAACAACTCACAACTCAAAGTAATTATCAACTTTGAAAGCTAATTGGGTTTCTGCCCATTATATCATTTTGACTTATTATATACCTCAATATAATACAAAACTTGCATGTAAGTCCAGTATAATGCATGCAACATTTAAAGAGCTTCACAAATCATTTAAAAGTAAATAAGAGTGTTCACTCTTAAGATAATTCAGTGCTCTTGTAAATACTTTTTCTCAGTTGAACAATTCATACAAGTCATAACTGCCACTTAATAAAGCCATTTCTGAAAGAGAGATAGGAGTAAGCCTCTAGAAAGAGACCTTCACAGTGTTTTGCCATGTTGCCATTAGTTTTTTAAAACTCTGAAGAACATCTAATAACAGATATTTACAGAAAGCTTTTCTGATTTTTTAAGACAAGCATCAGTGATCTAAAGTAATCACCTCTGCTTTCTATCTGGGGTGACTGGGAAAGGAAGATCCGATCCATCCGAGTAAAGAGAGAGAGAGGTTTCTTACCATGATAATAAATCTCGTCTGCGGAGGATGGTTCCTCATTGGAAAAGGATCAGGCTGCTAATTGTCTTCTGTTTTTCGGGCTGGAGGAGCAGCCAAACTGCGGAGCCTTGGTCTCACCTCTCCCCAATCTTCACATCGCATTAACACTCCTTCGCAAGGAACGGCAGATGCGTGCGCGTTGTGAGAGCCTTCCACCCTCATGTATTATGCACACATAATCCTTTCCACTGTAAGCGCGCTGGAGGGGGGGAAAAACCCGAAAGAAAAACCACGCCATACACAACACGCTCCACATCTCCACACAGCACGGAAGAACAGAGGGAATTTCAGTGCAAGCCACCCTACGTCTCTGTTCCCCTAAGAAGATCTGCTTTGCCCTTCGCGACGCGGACCCCCAGGCTTATTCCAGGGAAGCCCACGCACAAGGAACATAAACACCTCCAATCCGCCGCAGGGTTGCGACTCCCTTTTCCCACCAAAAAGGGGAGCAACAAGCCTCACAACTAAGAAGCGGGCCCCGAGCCTTCGCCTCTTCCGCCCAGACCCCCCCCCCACTTGCCACCTTCTCCATTGTACACCGTTCAAGGAAAGCCACCCCTCCCCGCCGCCGCCTTTTCCCTTCCACTCTCCATCCCCGTGGCGGCCGCCGCCTCCCCCCACCTTTTGGCCACGGCGCGCTCGAGAAACCACTCTTACCTTGGAGGACTCACCGCGGCCGACTCCGGCCTTGCCCTTCTCTCACTGTGGCCGGGAGGTGCAGGTGCGTCTTCAGACTCGGGGGCAGCAGGAACCGGGAAAAGGAAGGAGGGAAGGTGGCGCTGCCACTGCCACTGCTGCGGCGGCGGTTACGGGGGAGGGTGGGAAAAAGAGGGAAGGGGAGGAGTCTGCGCTGCCCCTGGCCGGCGTGAGGAGGCAGCGAGGGCGAGGCTTTCGGGACCGAGTCCCCGGGATTGCGAGCGACTGGACTGTCGTCTTTCTGGTTGCCTCTCCTCCGCCTCTCGGGGGAGGGGGTGGAATAACGAGCCCCGCGAATCCTTGTCCCGGAAGTTTCGATTCAGCCAGGAGCCGGCTTACGGAACTCTTTTCTGGGACTGGCTGCGGCGATTTGATGCAACGGAGCTTCCTCGCTGGCTCTTCTCGCCCCGCCTCACGAACCACAGGAGCCGTAGCTATCCGGGCCGCAGGCCTGAAGTGGGGGGCGGAGCCTCCTGGAAAGAGGCGGAGCCGCGCCCACGAGCGAGCCGACCATGAGGACTGTTTTTTTTAAACGGAGTCAATAGGGGAAGTGGGCTGAGTTAAGAGCGGGGATGAGTCACGCCGGAGGGAGGGCGGAGCCTCGGGAACGTGTTAGGGACGGAGGGCGGCTGGTGAGAAAACGCGCCACGGGAGAACTAAGCCTCTGGTTAGTGGTTTGGAGAGCCCGCCTTCATCTTTCGTTTGAAAGACACATTTTCTGCCCAATCAACAGGAGAGATGCTGAGCGAAAGGAGGAAGGTTTCCGTCTTTTGCAAGCGATGTTTTTACCTGCCCGGAAGAAAGACGCACCTGTGGGACGGTGGTTTCCTTTCTTTTTTTACCCGAGTAATGATTGGCTTGGAGGCATGGTTTGCGGGTCTGTCCTGTGTTTACCCGAAAGGTAAACCGAAAGGAGTAACCTGACAAAGGATTACCGTTTTGCAAGGCATTCCTGGTTGCGTTGACTGCAGAAATCAGTCCTCTGATTAAATGGAGTTTATTCCGAAGTGAGCGGACAGAGGATTGTATCTGATGGGACAAACAATGGCTTTTCTTGTAACCTCTTAGCCTTCCCGGTGGATAGTTGACAGGCCAGGTAGTTCTCTTCTGGAAGGATTGTTGCTTTCCTCAGCGGTAAGTGCTAAACTGCTTTAGTCATTAGTAAGTCTGGACATATTAGGAAGGGGGGGTTGTATCTAGAACAATTTAAACTTAGAATATTCCATTAATCAAGGCCAGAGTTTGGTGTATTTATTAATCCGAGGCTTTAAAAACAATTAACATGTTTCTAGTAGCAAGATAAGAAATTAAATGTGTGTAATCATACACTTGGTTGGTCCATACTGGATGGATATAGGATTAGGATTGCAGCTAAAGTGCACCATGTGCTTGTGGATACATACTGGAGTGGATGGATTCTCAGTCATAGGATTGCAAAAAGGAGAAAGGAGAGAGAGAAAATCAGAGCTCA